TAGGTGTGAGCCACTGAGCCTGGCCTGTTTTCTCTATTTTCTTTCTTTCTTTCTTTTTGAGATGGAGTTTCACTCTTGTTGCTCAGGCTGGAGTGCAATGGCACAATACTGGCTCACCGCAACCTCCACCTCCCGGGTTCAAGCAATTCTTCTGCCTCAGCCTCCTGAGTAGCTGGGATTACAGGCATGCACCACCACACTCAGCTAATTTTGTATTTTTAGTAGAGATGGGGTTTATTCATGTTGGTCAGGGTAGTCTTGAACTTACGACCTCAGGTGATCTGCCCATCTTGGCTTCCCAAAGTGCTGGGATTACAGACATGAGCCATTGTGCCCGGCCTGTTTTCTCTATTTTCAAAACGTCTCTATGATCATGTTTTACATTTTTTGGTTTTTTAGAGGCAGGTTTTTGTTCTGTTGCCCAGGCTGGAGTGCAGTGTTGCAATCATGCTTCAATGTAACCTCAACCTCCTGGGCTCAAACAATCCTCCCATCACAGCCTCCCAAGTAGCTAGAGCCATAGGTGCATCACCAGACCAGTCTAATTTATTTATTATTTGTAGAGATGAGGTTTTACTATGTTGCCCAGGCTGGTCTTGAACTCCTGGGCTCAAGTGATCCTCCTGCCTCAACCTCTCAAAGTGCTGGGGTTACAGGAGTGAGCCACTGTGCCTGGCCAGTGCTTTATTTATTAATTTTTAAAAACAGAGATGAGGTCTCACTATGTTGCCCAGGCTGGTCTCAAACTTTTGGCCCCAAGTGATCCTCCTATCTCGGCCTCCCAAAGTGCTAGGATTACTGGTGTAAGTCACTGCACCCAGCCTGTTTTATAAATAAGAAAATCAGTTCCTTTTTTTTTTTTTTTTTTTTTTTTGAGGCGGAGTTTCGCTCTTGTTACCCAGGCTGGAGTGCAATGGCGCGATCTCGGCTCACCGCAACCTCCGCCTCCTGGGTTCGGGCAATTCTCCTGCCTCAGCCTCCTGAGTAGCTGGGATTACAGGCACGAGCCACCATGCCCAGCTAATTTTTTTTGTATTTTTAGTAGAGACGGGGTTTCACCATGTTGACCAGGATGGTCTCGATCTCTCGACCTCGTGATCCACCCACCTCGGCCTCCCAAAGTGCTGGGATTACAGGCTTGAGCCACCGCGCCCGGCCAGTTCCTTAAAAGTAAAAAAAAAAATGATTTCCAAAAATGACTCTCATGCTCTGGGTGTGATCTTATGTGAGAGATGTCACCTCCCATGATCTAAATGTCATGCATCTATAATGTAGCCCAGCATTGTAAGCTTATGTGCATTTCCCCTTGGTTCATCCTGAGCTTGGAGTCCACTTAGACCCTCATATCCTTTCCATCACCACATCCTGTCATTTTAACTTTCTAGAGAGAATAAGTGAGGTGCTGGTAACCAGTGTGACTAGGATTTGAACACAGATCACCTGAATGCTGGCCTAGCCTGGATTTAGCCAACTGGTTTGCACTTCCTGAGTGCTCTTTCCTTTATGCTTCCCTCTTAGGCTGCCTTGAAACAGTGCATGAATCCCTCACTTCCTCATTTCTTTAACTGGTGTGATCATTGACTGTTCTACTTCCTCCTCTCCGCTCTGGTTCTGTCCCTGTGGTGTGCTGGTGGGGTGGTGACTCTGTGTGTCTATGAGAATGGAGGTGGGGGCGGGGGGCTGGTGAAATGACTGTTCCTCTGCAACCCCAGAAGTCAAACCCATGGGCCAGAAAACCTCCTGAGTTTCACGATGCTGAGAACTGGCCTGGAGGGTAGGGCTCCCTAACCCTGACCCTGAATTAAATCCATCCAGCCTCGGGGAGTGCTGGCAACCCCAGCCATACCCCCTTCCCCGCAGGGAGCCATCCTACCACGCTGACCATTGGAAGAGCAGACCTGTCCTCACCTCTGGGCAGGCAGGAGTGAAGACAGAGACCCCCATATTTGTTCCTTTCCCAGGCTCAAGGCCAGATCGGCCTTCCTGCTAGCCCCAGCAGGGGTGTGGTGAGGGGTGCTCGGATAGAAGCTAGAGGTGTCTCTCTTAACGGGGACAGAGTAGACATTCCCTCCTTGCAGTGGCAGCATGAGGAGGGAGGAATATGAGACCCCACTTCCCAATCCCTTCCTTTCCATTTTCCTTGGGGAAAGGGGGTAGGGAAGGCTGAAGAATCTAGCTCTCCAGATCTACCCTCTCCAGGGCCTGCAGAGGCCTTTTTGCCCCTTAGACCCCCCCATCCCTGCTTCCATCATCACCATCCTCAGTGCTTCCTCTGGCTCCTTAGGGATGCCTTTAGCAGGTCATTCATCCCTGGTGACTCAGTTTCTCATTTTATTTGTTTATTTATTTATTTTTTGAGACAGAGTCTCACTCTGCTGCCAGTTTGGAGTGAAGTGGTACGATCTTGGCTCACTGCAACCTTTACCTCCCGGATTCAAGCAATTCTCTTGCCTCAGTCTCCCAAGTAGCTGGGACTACAGGTGCATGCCACCACACCCAGCTAATTTTTGTATTTTTAGTAGAGACGGGGTTTCACCATGGCCTCGATCTCTTGATCTTGTGATCCACCTGCCTCAGCCTCCCAAAGTGCTGGGGTTACAGGTGTGAGCCACCACTCCCAGCTTTCTTTCTTTCTTTCTTTCTTTCTTTCTTTCTTTCTTTCTTTACAGATAGAGTCTTGCTCTGGGAATGCAATGGTGCAATCTCAGCTCACTGCAACCTCCGCCTCCCAGGTTCAAACGATTCTTCTGCTTCAGCCTTCCAAGTAGCTAGCATTATAGGCGTGTGCCACACTATGCCTGGCTTATTTTCGTATTTTTAGTAGAGACAGAATTTCATCATGTTGGCCAGGCTGGTCTTGAACTCTTGGTCTCAGGTGATCTGCTCATTTTGGCCTCCCAAAGTGCTGGGATTATAGGGGTGAGCCACCACACCTGGCCAGTTTTCCCTTCTTAATATACAATATTATTTAAATCATTCAGTCACACTTAGAGTAGGTATTATCATTCCCATTTGTGACTAGGTTTTCACGTTTGTATGAGACACAACAATCATGCATTTCTTCTGCATAATTCTACTTCCCTCCCCCCTTACACTTAGTATCTAATGATTGTTGCACATTGGTTTGTCTTTTTTTGTTGTTTTTGAACCAAACAACATACATGCATCCATTCTGTTAATATTTGTTGGGAGCCTACCACCTGCTAAGCCAGGTGAGGTGGGCTCTAGGCACTCATGGTTTGACTGGGAGACAAACTATTAAACATAGAATGGCAGATTTGCTAATAATGATTACAAAGGAGAAGTGAGGAACAGCTGGAAGCTGATGACAGCAGTAGCAGAAGCTGCCTTGAGGAAGTGAGGTCATACTGTTACCCTCTCTGCTTAAAACCCAAACCTAGGCTGGGCATGGTGGCTTATGCCTGTAATGCCAGCACTTTGGGAGGCCGAGGCGGGCAGATTGCTTGAGCTCAGGAGTTTGTGACCAGCCTGGGCAACATGGCAAAACCCTGTCTCTACAAAAACAAACAAAAATTGGCTGGACATGGGGTTGTATGCCTGTGGTCTCAATGACTTGAGAGGCTAAGGTGGGACGGTGGCTTGAGCCTGGGAGGCAGAGGCTGCAGTGAGCTAAGAATGTGCCGCTGCACTACAGCCTGGGTAACAGGGTGAGACCCTGTCTCAAGACAAATGCCGAACCCAGATTCTACTTGGCCCTTCAAAGCCCCAGGTGTCTGACTCCTGTTAGTATCATCAGCCTCAAATTAACCCGGTAGCTGCCCTGGCCTCCTTGTTTTATCTTGACACACCAAGCTCTTTCCTGCCCCTGAGCTTTGGCACACACTGTTCCCTCTGCGTGGAATGACCTCTCCCTGGCTTTTGTTGCGTGGCTGTTCCTTCTTGTCTCAGCTCAAATGTCTCTTTTGTAGAGACAGCTTCCCTGATCATGTCCCCTACCATAACAGCCTCCCCTATCACTCTATCATATTATTCACGTTGTTTTGATTTGTTTTTGTTTTTGTTTTTATAGCACTTAAAGTATCTGAGGTTTTTTTGTTTGTTTGTTTTTCTTGGAGACAGGGTCTCACTCTGTCACGCAGGCTGGAGTACAATGGTGCAGTCTAGGCTCATTGCAACCTCTGCCTCGTGTGTTCACATGATTCTCATGCCTCATCCTCCTGAGTAGCTGGAAATACAGATGTGCACCACCACACCTGGCTCGCTTTTTTTTTTTTTTTGTATTTTTAGTACAGGGTTTCACCATGTTGGCCAGGCTGGTCTCGAACCCCTGACCTCAAATGATCTGCCTGCCATGGCCTCCCAAAGTGCCAGGATTACAAGTGTGAGACACCATGCCTAGCTGGTGGTTTTTGTTATTATTATTTGCTGGTTTACTATGTATCTTCCCCATGAAGCTTGGGGTTCCATACAAAGTACATAGAAGGGGCTGGACCCACTGTCCCTCCCTGCCCCTGTGCTTGGCACAGGGCCTAGTACATACATAGTTGATGCTCATCCATATTTCTAAATGGCCTCTCCTGCTTCCCCAGTGTGTTAGTTTCCTATTGCTTCTATAACAAATCACTAGAAATTTAGTGGCTTAAAAGAACACCAGGTTATTATCCTCTGGTCCTAGACGTCAGAAGCCTAGAAATCAAGGTCGGGGCAGGGCTGCATTCCTCGGGAAGGCTCCAGGGAAGAATCCTTTTCCTTGCCTTCTAGCGGCAGCCCCTCCTCCATCATCAAAGCATCTCCAGCCTCTGCTTCTGTTTCCCTTTCTTGGGATCCTTAATTTACTCATATTTGCAAAGTCCCTTTTGCCATGTAAGATGACATGCACAGATTCTGGGATTGTGGACACGGACATCTTTGGAAGTCTGCCCTTCAGCCTCCTACATCCAGGTCCCCCGTAGTGCCTTGTTCAGCACTGGGTGGCTAGCACTCAGGCTTCCTAGCTGCTACTGTGAACTCAGTGACCTGACCCCTTCTTCCCCCTGCAGGACGAGATTGAGGAGCTGCGGGCTGAGATGCTGGAGATGCGGGATGTCTACATGGAGGAGGACGTGTATCAGCTGCAGGAGCTGCGGCAGCAGCTGGACCAGGCCAGCAAGACCTGCCGCATCCTGCAGTACCGGCTTCGCAAAGCCGAGCGCCGCAGTTTGCGTGCTGCCCAGACTGGCCAGGTGGACGGAGAGCTTATCCGCGGTCTGGAGCAGGATGTCAAGGTCAGCCCGGGGGTCTTCCCCAACTCTCTTGGGTGCCCTTGTTGCTGGGATGGAACCACAGTCTAATGGGGCCCAGGTTGGCCTTGCATCTCACTTCTGTGTGTCCGTGGCCAAGTTCTACCACCTCTGTGGGCCTCAGTTTCCTCATCTAAGTAGGAATTCCTGGTGAACTCACAGGACTTCTATCAAGGGTGCCCCAAAGTGATGTCATAATATGAACCCTTCTTTCTAGCAGCAGCTGCTGTTTTTGTTTTTGTTTTCATTTTTTGAGATGGAGGTTCCCTCTTGTTGCCTGGGCTAGAATGCAGTGCGTGGTCTTGGCTCACTGCAACCTCCGCCTCCCGGGTTCAAGTGATTCTCCTGCCTCAGCCTCCTGAGTAGCTGGGATTATAGGCGCCTGCCCCACGCCCGGCTAATTTTTGTATTTTTAAGAGAGACGGGTTTCACCATGTTGGCCAGGCTGATCTTGAGCTCCTGACCTCAGATGATCCACCTGCCTCAGCCTCCCAAAGTGCTGGGATTACAGGCATGAGCCACCTGGCCTGGCTGAGCAGCTACTGTTTATTGAGTATCAACCACACACCTGGTGCTGGGCTCCAGTGTGTCCCTGCTGGAGATTTCTTTTTCTTGTTTTTTTAGAGAAAAGGTCTGGCTGTGTTGACTAGGCATCAGGCAGTGATGTGACCTTAGCTCACTGAAGCCTCCACCTCCTGGGCTCAAGGGGTCCTCCCACCTCAGCCTCCTGAGTAGCTAGGACTACAGGTGCACACCACCACGCCTGGGTAATTTTTCTTATTTTTTGTAGAGATGGGATTTCATTATGTTGCCCAGGCTGGTCTCAAACTCCTGGGCTCAAGTGATACTTCTGCCTTGGCCTCCCAAAGTGCTGGGATTACAGGCATGAGGTTTCTTAATTGAGCTGATAGAAAGTAGTGAAGGCCTGGAGTTGGTCGAGGCTGGTTTAAATCTTGGCTCCAATATATCTGAATTTCATGATTTCAAACAAAGTCACCTGTTTCAGTGTCCTCATCTGTAAAATGGGTTTGTAATCTCTATCTCTATGAGGGTTCTATGAGGATTAAATGAAATAACGTGGGCCAGGTGCGGTGGCTCACACCCGTAATCCCAGCACTTCGGGAGGCCAAGGTGGACAGATCACCTGAGGTCGGCAGTTCAAGACCAGCCTGGCCAACATGGTAAAACCCCATCTCCACTAAAAATACAAAATATAGCTGGGTGTGGTGGCACACGCTTGTAGTCCCAGCTACTCAGTAGGCTGAGGCAGATGAATTGCTTGAACCTGGGAGGCTGAGGTTGCAGGGAGCAGAGATCATGCCATTGCAGTCCAGCCTGGGTGTCAGAGTTAAACTCTGTCTCAAAAAAAAAAAAAAAAAAAAAAAAAGCAGGGTGTGGTGGTAAGTGCCTAGAGTCCCAGCTACTGGCATGACCAAGGCCAGGAGTTCAAGGTTGCAGTGAGCTATGATTGCACCACTGCACTCCATCCTGGGCAATAGAGCAAGACCTTGTCTCTCTTTAAAAAAAAAAAAAAGAGGCCGGGCGCGGTGGCTCAAGCCTGTAATCCCAGCACTTTGGGAGGCCGAGGCGGGTGGATCACGAGGTCAAGAGATCGAGACCATCCTGGTCAACATGGTGAAACCCCGTCTCTACTAATGGTGCAAAAAATTAGCTGAGCATGGTGGCGCGTGCCTGTAATCCCAGCTACTCCGGAGGCTGAGGCAGGAGAATTGCCTGAACCCAGGAGGCGGAGGTTGCGGTGAGCCGAGATCGCGCCATTGCACTCCAGCCTGGGTAACAAGAGCGAAACTCCGTCTCAAAAAAAAAAAAAAAAAAAAAAAAAAGAATGAGTTAGTCTCTTAAGTTCAGAGCGTACCTCTACTTGACAGGGCAGATCCCCGGCATATTCAGATTCCAATCACTGGATTGGGAGGAGTGGGGTGGGGGATGGGGAAAGGCAGTAGGGAGGGGAGGGATGGGGAGGGGATAGCTAGAGAAGCTCAGATGAAGCCGCGTTTGGGCCTACATAGTAGAAGATTTCTGGGAGGGACCCAAAAAAATGTCAGACTTCAGAAAGATGAGGAAGGGGCGGAGGAGAGGCTGGGACCTGGAGGAGATGTGGGCTGCGGTGCCTCCATGGGTGGGGCCAGAGCAGCGGCAGCGGGGAGGGGGGTGTGGGGGCAGGGTGTGGGGAGCACGTGTGTGGCTCTGCCGAGTCTGGGCAGAGAGGAGGGGCCCCTTCTGTTGGGATTTGAATTAGCCAATCAGCATCCACCTTGCCCCTTCGCTCCCTCCTCTCCCCACCCTGCAGCTGGAGCGCTGAGCTCATCTGCCGGCCTGGGGCCTGAGCTGGACACACACCCCTGGCCACCACCCCGAGCCCCATGCGCTGGGACCATTCCGAGGTTTTCGGGAGGTTATCAGAATGCTAACTTCCCTTGCTTTGTCTTAGAGGGCTTCTGAGTGGAGAGGGGTGGGAGCTGGCCTAGGAGGGTACACCAGGTCTCCCCTGACTTGCTCTGCCAGCTCCTTGGCCCATGCTCTGACTGGCCCCTACCTCTTAGTGCCTCATTTTCCCCTTATGTTAAATGTGGCTTTAGATCAGCTGAATATTCAAGGCTTTTGAGCTTCAGTGGTTTTATTGAGCAGAGGGGTATTGGGGAGGGGGTCATGAATGAAATCACAGGCCTCAGAGCTCCCCCAACCCTAGGCTGTCCCTCTCTGCTGGTCCTCACAATTGACGGGACCTGCAGAACCTCAGTGGGGCCTTTGCCCAGCATGAGGAGGGCAAGGTCAGGGGTGGAGAGCTGCTGTGCCACTTGTTTGCTGTGTGACCTTGGGTAAGTGTCTTCACATCTCTGAGCTTGTTTCCTCATGTGGAAAATGGAGATAAAATGAGTCCCTCCCTCTAGAGATTTTTGTAAGGATAAAATGAAATAATTCAAGTGTTCAAGTGAAGAGAGTATTAAACTCTAGGTCTGACAAACGTGTATTGATTGTGGTTTTCTTTTTTTTCTTTTGAGATTAAAAAAAGAAGCACTCTGGCCGGGCGCTGTGGCTCATGCCTGTAATCCCAGCACTTTGGGAGGCCGAGGCGGGTGGATCCCGAGGTCAAGAGATCGAGACCATCCTGGTCAACAAGGTGAAACCCCGTCTCTACTAAAAATACAAAAATTAGCTGGGCATGGTGGCGCGTGCCTGTAGTCCCAGCTACTCGGGAGGCTGAGGCAGGAGAATTGCTTGAACCCAGGAGGCGGAGGTTGTGGTGAGCCGAGATCGCGCCATTGCACTCCAGCATGGGTAATGAGCGAAATTCTGTCTCAAAAAAAAAAAAAAACAACCAAAAACAACAAAAAGCAGCACTCTGTCACCCAGGCTGGAGTGCAGTGGTGTGATCTTGGCTCGCGGCAACCTCTGCCTCCCAGGCTCCAGCAATTTTCCTGCCTCAGCTTCCCAAGTAGCTGAGGTTACAGGCACCTGCCACCACATCCGGCTAATTTTGTATTTTTAGTAGAGATAGTTTCTCCATGTTGGCCAGGCTAGTCTGAAACTCCTGAGCTCAGGTGATCCACCCGCCTTGGCCTCCCAAAGTGCTGGGATTACAGATGTGAGCCACTGGGCCTGGTTTAGTTGTGCTTTTCTATTGCTCAGAAGAACTTACACAGTAAGTATAAGTTCTTCTCAGCAATAGCTCTGTAAGACTAGTAGTAGTAGACTAGTAGGACTGGTTGGTAGTAGTAGACTGGTAGTCTAGGGCAAGGGGAGGGGAGGGTAGGCCAGGATCTCAGCCTCACAGGGTGAATAAAAATCACCAGGAAGGCTTGTTCACAATGCAGATTTCCAGGACCTCTCAGGACCTGAGACCGGATATGAGGGGATCAGGTCCAGGGAATCTGGGATCTCAATTCTTGTCTAAAGTGACTCCTGTGGGAAGCCAAGGACACACCACGAGCACACTCCCTTCCTTAGATATAGATGTTGCTGGAGATAATGTTCTGGCTTTGGGTTTAATTCCTAGGTGACCTGTGCAGGTTACTTCCCTTCTTTGAGCCTCAGTTTCCTCATCTATAGAGTAGGGGTGACATTCCCACCCCTCCTGGGATTTGTAGGAGGATTCAGCCACATGGAGTCCAGAATGCTGGCCAGGAGGGTGTTCTTTTTCTTTTTTTTTTTTTGAGATGAAGTCTCCCTCTGTCAGCCAGGCTGGAGTGCAGTGGCATTATCTTGGCTCACTGCAACCTCCACCTCCTGGGTTCAAGTGATTCTCCTGCTTCAGCCTCCTGAGTAGCTGGGATTACAGGTGTGCTACCACGCCCAGCTAATTTTTGTAATTTTTTAAGTAGAGATGGGGTTTCACCATGTTGACCAGTCTGGTCTTGAACTTCTGACTTCAAGTGATTGGCCGGCCTTGGCCTCCCAGAATGTCAGATTTACAGGCATGAGCCACCACACCCAGCCTTGTTTGTTTGCTTGTTTCTTTTTTGAGACATAGTCTGGCTTTGTCACCCAGGCTGCAGTGCAGCAGCCGATCACAGCTCACTGCAGCCTTGACCTCCTGGGCTCAAGGGATCCTCCTGCCTCAGCTTCCCAAGTAGCTGGTACTACAGGTACATACCATCATGTCCTGCTAATTTTTGTATTTTTTATAGAGATGGGGGAATCTCCCTATTTTGCTCAAGCTGGTCTTGAACTCCTGGCCTCAAGCAGTCCTCCTACCTTGATCTCCCAAAGTATTGGAATTGCAGGCATCAGCCACCACACCTGGCCAGGGACTGCTTTTTCGTGAGAACTCCCGTCCCTTTCCCTGAGGATCAGGATGGCAGAGGTCCAGGAGCCGAGGGGCCTGATGCCCAGGAGCAGGGGCTAGAGGCTGCTGGTTGCACTTGGCAGGAGCCAGGCCCAAGCGCTGTAAACAGTGACCTCATGGCTGAGTGCATTTGTTTGTGCTTTGGGGATTTGCCCTGGTTTCCGGAAGCCGCAGCTGCCGCGCCTCCCTTAGTATCTCAGCCCCCCTACCTTGAGGGTAGCTGGGAGGATCAAATGAGACAGACACGTGGGGCCCTTTAAGTGCCTGGCACAGTAAGCCCACTGTTGGAGCTTATTATTAATACTTTTATTGTTGATGTTAAAGTAATGTGTTTTCACGAGTTGAGCCTATACGGCAGGATCGGGCTAAGAGCAAGACTTGAGAGTTAATCCCACTCGATTTCAAACCTGGGTTCTACAGCCTTCCTAGCTGTGTGACCTTGGGAAGTGACCTTTCCTTTCTCAGCCTCAGAATGGGAATAATAATCAAAGTGTTTCCCAGTGGGATGAAAAGCGCTTGGTGAGCACTGGGGAATGTGCTAGCAGATTCTGTAAATCATTTCTGAGGGCTGAGGGGGCCCAGGACCACTGAGGCTCACTGAGGAGCAGGGACAAGCCCATGCCATAGGACTCTTGCCTCCCAGTCTGGCTGCCTGGAGTGATTTTTGTTGTTTTTTGAGACAAAATCTTGCTCTGTTGCCCAGGCTGGAGTGCAGTGGCGTGATCTCATCTCACTGCAACCTCTACCTCCTGGATTCTAGCGATTCTCCTGCCTCAGCTTCCTGAGAGCTGGGATTATAGGCGTGTGCGGGCTAACTTTTGTATTTTTTGGAAAGACAGAAAAGACAGGGTTTCACTATGTTGGCCAGGCTAGTCCTGAACTCCTGACTTCAGGTGATCTGCCTGTCTCAGCCTCCCAAAGTGCTGGGATTACAGACGTGAGCCACCACACCCAGCCTGTGCTTTCTTTTGATGTAGCAGGCATCAGGGGAGAGGAGTGAATGGGAAAGGGATTCCATGGAGAATGGGGCAGAAGGGAACTGAGGAATCATGGAGGGGATGGGAGGGATGAAATCCATAGAGTTGTTCATGAACCCCAGAGGATCCAGAAATTCACCTGGATTGTGACTTCTTGATGGGGACTGGTAGCCTCCCCAGGTGGAGGATGTGGTGGAGATGAGGCATCCCCACAGGTGGAGAGGAGCTGGCCCAGATAGGAGCTCATTTGAGAGAGGAGCCCTCACCTGTAGCAACCTGCTTCCTCACCCCAGCCAGGACGCAGCCCTTTCTGGATAGTGGGTGGGGTTGGCGTTTGAGGGCAGGTGCCACTCCCTATATATATTCAGTCATTTACTCATTCATCTCCCTCCCTTTCCACTTGTTGGACCCTTGGGTTTATTCATTCGTCCAACAAGCATTTATTAGGCATTTAGTATGTGCCTGACCCTGTGCTGCTGCTGGAACACATGGATGTGAATGAGCCCATCTATGTCTGTGGCCTTGATCTCTGTACCAGGCTCTAGTGCCTAAGCAGGATGAATGAATGAGTGAGCAAATGAATGGAGTGTTGATCAGGATAGGGGCTTACTGGGTGACCTAGCCCCAAACTGGGGACCATGTTTAAATAACTTGTCTTGGCTCACATAGCCAGTAAATGCTGGAACTGGGCTTGAATCTTGTTTTTCCATCTGCAAAGTCCTTATTCTGATCCTAAGGGGTTACTCTCTCCACTTTATGGATGAGGAAGGTCTGGTGCCCAGAGAGGCTGTGAGAGGAGCCTCATGGGGCCGCTCCAGGCTGTCCTAGGAGATCCTCAGGGGCAGAAGAGGCAGTGGCAGTAGAGGGAGGGAGAGGCTCTGCCCGGTTTCCTTTCTGATCCTTGTTTTTCCTGGCCTGCCTCGTACACTGCCAAGGGGTCTGTGCCGAGCTGGGCTTGGGCCCAGGCAGAGGACAGAGCCAGGGAGGGCCCTCTTCTCTTCCGGCAGGGAGGAGGCACCATGGTCATTTCCGAGACCAGCAGGCACGGGGTGCTGGGCTCTCTGCCCCGCATGGAGTTCCTGCTGGTGAAACCCTGGCACCCCTGGGAGACTCTGGGCTATACTGGCCCCTCAGCCAAACCTCCGGGGCTCCCAGCCCAGCTCAGCCCACACTGGCTTTGCGTGACCCTGAGTGTGTTATTTCTGCTCTGAGCTCCAGTTTCCTTGTGAAATGGGGATAGGATTGGGCTGAAGATGGGTGAGTTTGGCATGCAGTAGGTATTCACCAAACAGAGTTCCCAGCCCATGCAAAGATGGAGGCTGGCTGCAATCTCCCAGCTCAAAAGGGCCTTCTTTCCTCATCCCTGCAGGCCTCCTTTCCTGGCCTCCCTCAAGCAGCTAGCGGGGGACAGAACAGAGGGTATCTGCCGGGATTGGGGTGCTGTTGCTGCAGAGTCCTGGACCAGGATCAGAGATTGCAGCTCCTCTAGCTTCTTTCTGTAGGGGTGACTTGGACACCTGCCCGGCCTTTGTCATTCGGGCCTGTTTTACATCCTGGACAACTAGAAATAGGTCTCAGGGCCACACTGTGACCTCCAGCCATCATGCCCTTCTCTGGGCTTCAGCTCCTTGGAGCAGCAGCCACCACTCACCCAGAATTCACTGTGTGCAGGCCCCAGGCCAAGGCTTTTGTGTAACAGCTGGTTCAGTTACCCTGTCAGGCCCGTAAGGTTGATCCTGTTACTACTGCGTTCATTTTATAGATGAGGAGACTGAGGCACAGAGCGGGAAAGTGACTTGCCCAGGACCACATGCCGGTCACTGGCAGCGATAGGAGTCAGTGGTCTAGGGCCCATCTTGCTCTGGGTTTCCACTGCAGCTCAATCCCCTCTCTGTTTTGTTTTGTTCTGAGGAGAGGAGACAGGGTCTCACTCTGTTTTCCCGGCTGGAGTACAGTGGCACAATCATAGTTCACTACAGCCTTGAATCCAGGGCCCAAGTGATTCTTCCATCTCAGCTTCCTGAGTAGCTGGGCCCGTAGGTGTGTGCCACCATGCCAAGCTAACTTGTTTTTTTTGTGGAGGTGGGGTCTTGCTATGTTGCCCAGGCAGATCGAACTACCGTGTCCAGTCCCTCAAAGTGTTGGGATTACAGATTCGAGCCACTGCATCTGGCTCCTCAGTCCCCTCCCATCTATTAAACTCATCTTAAAAGATGAGCTTCTGGCCCTCCCACAGGCTTTTGTGAGGACTGGGCAAGAGGGTGGCTGGGAGAGGCTTTGGAAGTGTTAAGTGCCCAAGTAGCCAGGCACAGTGGCTCATGCCTGTAATCTCAGCTATTTGGGAGGCTGAGGCAGGAGGACCACTTGAGGCCAGAAGTTCAAGACTGTCCTGGACCATATAGTGAGACCCCATTTCTTCTTATTTATTTATTAATTATTATTTTTTGAGACTGAGTTTTGCTCTTATTGCCCAGGCTGGAGTGCAGTGGCGCCATCTCGGTCACTGCAGCCTCCACCTCCCGGGTTCAAGTAGTTCTCCTGCCTTAGCCTCCCAAGTAGTTGGAATTACAGGCACCCAGCATGACATGCCTGGCTAATTTTTGTTTTTTGGTTTTTGGGTTCTTTTCGAGATGGATTCTCGCTCTGTTGCCCAGTCCAGAGTGTAGTGGTGCAATCTTGGCTCACTGCAACCTCCGCCTCTCAGATTCAAGCGATTCTCCTGCCTCAGCCTCCTGAGTAGCTGGGACTACAGGCGCGGGCCACCATGGCCGGCTAATTTTTTGTATTTTTAGTAGAGACAGCATTTCACCATATTGGCCAGGCTGGTCTCAAACTCCTGACGTCATGATCTGTCCACCTCGGCCTCCTAAAGTGCTGGGATTACAGATGTGAGCCACCGCACCTGGCTGAGATCATTTCTACAAAAAAAATGCAAAAATTACCCAGGTGTGGTTATACATACCTGTAGTCCCAGCTACTCAGGAAGCTGAGATGAGAGGATTACTTGAGCCCTGGAGTTCAAGCCTACAGTGAGCCATGATTGCACCACTGAACTCCAGCCTGGGAGACATAGCGATACTCTGTCTCAAAACAAAAAAAAAAAGCCCCAGGGAAAGAAAAGGCATTCCTGAGAACAGGGTCTTCCCAGCTTTCTGGGGCTCTACCATGATACGGACACTGGGAGCTTGTGCCTGGGTTTTGGGTTTTGGTTCTACTGCTTCCCTCATGGGTTTCTTGGTCTCTTCATGCCTCAGTTTACTGGTTTGCAGCGTGGCAGTGATTCGATAGGAATCTGCCTGTCTCTGGGGTTGCACTGCTGCCAAAGTGGGGTGGTCAGTGGGCCTTGCAGTGGGGGCTCTCCTCGGCCTGCTCACATCCTTCTGTCTCCCTGCACAGGTCTCTAAGGACATCTCCATGCGGCTGCATAAGGAGCTTGAAGTGGTGGAGAAGAAGCGGGCACGGCTGGAGGAGGAGAACGAGGAGCTTCGGCAGCGGCTCATCGAGACTGAGCTGGCTAAGCAGGTGCTGCAGACGGAGCTGGAGCGGCCAAGAGAGGTGAGGGCTTCATGCATCCAGCGGGGCCAGCCTAAGGAAGGCAGGCCCATGTAAACCCCCCAAACCAGTGTCTCTGTGAGCCTCCGCTTGTGGGAAATGGGTAGCTTATGTCTCCCTGGCAAGGTTGTTTATTCATTCATCCTCCAGCATGCATTTCCTGAGCACCTACTGTGTAAATTGTGTGTGGGACACTTAAGGTTATAATGGTGAACAAAATATACTCAGTTTCTGTCCTCAGGGAGCTCACAGGTTAACAAGAGAGTCATTCATCAAAGAACCATAGCCGCAGTGGGAGGATTAACTGAGAAAACTTGCAACAGTGTCAGGCATGGGGTTCAGCCCTCTGTGCCTCAGTTTCCTTAACTATAAAATGGAGCAGTGGTGCCCTGAGTTGTTGTGAGGACCAACACAAATAACGCATGTGGAGTGGCTACAAGAGACTGCCAGTTCTGGCCCCCTGCGGTGGTTCACGCCTGTAATCCCATCACCTAGAGAGGTCGAGGCAAGCGGATCACGAGGTCAGGAATTCAAGACTAGCCTCGCCAACATGGTGAAACCCCAAATCTACTAAAAATACAAAAGTTAGCCGGATATGATGGTGGGCACCTGTAATTCCATCTACTTGGGAGGCTGAGGCAGAGAATTGCTTGAACCTGGAAGTTGCAGTGAGCTGAGATTGCGCCACTGCACTCCAACCTGGGTGACAGAGCAAGACTCCATCTCACAGACACACAAAAAAGACTGCCAGGTCCTGCCATTTGGTGTGAAGTGTGAAGTCAGTGCTGGGGCTGGGTCTCAGGCCAGTGTCTCTGGGGTACTAGGTGCTTCCTGAATGTGACCCCTGGACCCCGTCCTGTCTGTCTTTGCTCATGCCAGTTCCTCCTTCTGGCAGCCCTTCTCCTGTTATGTGTTGGGTATACAGCGTGTTATACGCCCTGCTTGACAGTTTATCTCAAACATTTTCATGCCAACAAGATTGCAGTCATGCCCATTTTGTGGATGACCAAACAGCCCCTGGAGAGGGAGGGAGCATAACCTCAAGGTTATGCAGGGCTCAAGGGGTTCGACAGAATGCAGACTGGAAGCCATCAGCCTAGGTGTCCCTTAAAAGCTGGAATCCCCCTATTCCAGGGGTCTGTGTTCTAAAAGGCCTGGGGTGGCTTCTGGCCCTAGAGGCAGAGCCAGGCCTTAGCTCCCTGGCTGCTGATGAGGCATGAGGATCTACTAGGGCACACTCCTTGCTGCAGGCACTTTCTGCCTGCCTCCCCTGAGGGCAAGCCTGTCAGTGTCCCTGGACTGAGACACCACAGCCCGAGGTCAGAACCTTCCTCCAGCTCTCCTTCCCACTGGGCGTGTTGGCGTGATGTGCCAGTGCCCTCTCAGCGTGCAGGGAGAGGAGTCGTCTGCTGCTAAGCGTGGCTAGCCCCCTCCCTTCATACAGCTGCCCACCTGCCATGGACTGGCCCATAACACAGAGCACCGTCTTCACACCATCTTGCTGCTGCCACCCTTGATAGTTAAAACAGGAGACAATTTCTGAAAGCACTTTAAGCTCGTGGTACAAATGATGAAACTGAGGCCCCAAGAGGAACAGCTTGCCTGAGTTCACCCAACCTCTCCTTAGCAGAGATGCAGCTGGAACCCTAAAGCCACTTCCCCTCTCTAAGTCTCAGTTTCTTTATCTGTGACATCAGGATAAGCAAACAAACAAACGAACAAAAGCCTGCATGGTGGCTCACACCTATAATCCCAGCACTTTGGGAGGCCAAGGTGGGCAGACCTCCAGCCTGCCAGCGTCCCTGGACTGAGGTAGCACAGCCCGAGGCCAGAACAGTCCTCCAGCCATCCTTCACACTGGGCATGTAGGACTTGAGACCAGCCTGGCCTACATAGCAAAACCCTGTCTCTCTAAAGAATGCAAAAATTAGGCCGGGCGCGGTGGCTCAAGCCTGTAATCCCAGCACTTTGGGAGGCCGAGGCGGGTGGATCACGAGGTCGAGAGATCGAGACCATCCTGGTCAACATGGTGAAACCACATCTCTACTAAAAATACAAAAAATTAGCTGGGCATGGTGGCACGTGCCTATAATCCCAGCTACTCAGGAGGTTGAGGCAGGAGAATTGCCTGAACCCAGGAGGTGGAGGTTGCGGTGAGCCGAGATCGTGCCATTGCACTCCAGCCTGGGTAACAAAAAGTGAAACTCCGTCTCAAAAAAAAAAAAAAAAAAAAAGAATGCAAAAATTAGCTGGGTGTGGTGGTACCTACCTGTAGTCCCAGCTACTCAGGAGGTGGAGGTTGCAGTGAGCTGAGATGGTACCGCTGTACTCCAGCCTGGGAGGTAGAGCAAGACCTTGTCTCAAAAAAAAGGGGGAGAGCCAAGTGCAGTGGCTCATGCCTGTAATCCCAGCACTTTTAGAGGCCGAGGTGGGTGGATCACCTGAGGTCAGGAGTTTGAGACCAGGCTAGCCAACATGGTGAAACACCATCTCTATTAAAAATACAAAAAAAAAAATAAAAGTTAGCTGGTTGTGATGGTGACCACCTGAGGCAGGGGAATCGCTTGAACCTGGGAGGTGGAGTTTGCAGTGAGCTGAGATCATACCACTGCACTCTAGCCTGGTGACAGGGTGAGACTCCGTCTCAAAAAAAATGTACAATTCAGTGATTTTTTAATATATTCATGGTGGTGTGTAGTTGTCACCATTATCTAATTCCAGAACATTTCCATGGCCCCAAAAAGTAACCTCAGAACAGTCACTGTGAACAGTCACTCCCCACCTGTAATCCCAGCTACTTGAGAGGCTGAGGCAGGAGAATTGCTTGAAACCAGGAGCCAGAGGTTGCAGTGAACTGAGATCATGCCATTGCACTCACTAGGCACAAGAGCGAAACTCCTATCTCCAATAAATAAATAAGACAACAGGATGATATCCAGCCTATGAGGTTGTTTGGGATCATTAGTAAGATTATATAACCATAAAGAAATTAAAAAGAATAAGGTAGTATGGCAGTTTCTCAAAAATTAAACATAGAACAATCATATGATCCAGCAATCTCACTTCTGGTTATGTCCCCAAAAGAACTGAAAGCAGAGACTCAAAGAGATATTTACTCAACCGTGTTCATAGCAGCATAACTCAAAATAGCCAGAAGGTAGAAGCAACCCAAATGCTCATCAGCGGATGAATGGATAAACAAAGTGTGGTACATATGAATAATGAAAACTAGTGAACCTTAAGAAGGAATGAGGCTGGCTGTAGTGGCTCATGCTTGTAATCCCAGCACTCTGAGAGGCAGAGGCGGGCACATTGGTTGGGCCCAGGAGTTCAAGACCAGCCTGAGCAACATGGTGAAAACCCGTCTCTACAAAAAATACAAAATTTAGCAAGGTGCGATGGTGCATGCCTGTAGTCCCAGCTACCAGGGAGGTTGAGGTGAGAGGATTGCTTGAGCCCAACAGGTTACAGGTTGGGGTTACAGTGAGCTGTGATGGTGCCACTGGACTCCAGCCTGGGCTATAGTGTGAAACCCTATACCAAGAGGGAGATGAAGAGGGGGCGGGGAAAAGAAAAGAAAAAGGAAAGTATTTGGAATTTAATTATGAAATTTTAAATGAGTTCAAGCTTGTTAAGAGCCCTTTTGTGGTGCCTGGTACAGAGTAGGTGCTCAAGAAACACTGGCTCCCATCCCTCTGCGGCTGGTGTCAGTGAGGCTGGTCTAGCCCTCCTCGCGTGCCCCATGGCGTCTCAGGCTTGTGTGCAGGAGGCAGAAGGCTGTGTTTATTTGCTGTTTATCCTGTCCCTCCTCGCTCTTTCCTGACATGGTTTCTATGGAGATGAGGGTCCCTAAGCAATTCTTCCTCAGTCCCATCATCAAGATCTGCCATTGCTATCCTGACAGGCTGCTGAGGCGGTGCTGTCACCCAGCTAGGAACAGGAGCCCCTGGCCTGAGCTGATGTGGTTGCCATGGAGACAGCTCTCCGCTAGAGAAAGGGGAGGTGGCAGGCCCTGGCTGAGGGCTGCAGTGGCACTGTTGCCCAGCTACCCTCTCTTCCAGCGTCACACGCCTCCTTGTGTTTTAGGCAGAAAGCCAATACGAGTGTTGACGTGATTTATTATGGTATAGCTGCTGTGTCTGAGCCCTCACTCTGTGCCAGGCACCGCACAAGCCTTGACCACACCAGCACATTGTTTAACCCTCCAATAGCCTTCCCACAGGCATGGTGTGGTTTTCTTGTTATAAGGTGCCACTGTTTCTTGGCAATTTTTAAATCATTATTTAATCCCCATGTCATACAATTCACCATTTGGAAATGGACAGTTCAGACCAGGCACAGTGGCTCATGCCTGTAATCCCAACACTTTAGGAGGCTGAAGCAGAAGGATTGCTTGAGCCCAGGAGTTTGAGACTAGCCTGGGCAACATAATGAGACCCCCGTTTCTACAAATATTGTAAAAATTAACTGGACATGATGGCACGAGCCTGTGGTTCCAGCTGCATAGGAGGCTGAGGTGGGAGAATTGCTTGAGCCTGGGAAACGGAGGTTGCAGTGAGCCAAGATCACGCCACTGTACTCCAGCCTGGGTAACAGAGCGAGACTCTGTCTCAAAAAAAAAAAAACTAATAATAAAACTAAAAACAATAAAAATTAAAAGTGGGCTGGGCACAGTGGCTCATGCCTGTAATCCCAGCACTTTGGGAGGCTTAGGTGGGCGGATCATGAGGTCAGGAGATCGAGACCATCCTGGCCAACATGGTGAAACCCCATCTATACTAAAATACAAAAAACTAGCCAGGTATGGTGGCACATGCCTGTAATCCCAGCTACTTGGGAGGCTGAGGCAGGGGAATCACTTGCACCCAGGAAGTGGAGGTTGCAGCGAGCTGAGATCATGCCACTTCACTCCAGCCTGGTGACTGAGTGAGATTCAGTCTCAAAAAAAAAAAGGTGTACAATTCAGTGATTTTTTTTTTTTTTTTATTTTTGCTGTCAGGATA